CCTGCATCCAGCTGTGGGTCCAAACTTCCTGGTGATCTGTGATTTATTATAATCTGCCCCAATTAGCTTTTTCCTTCCTATAGTTACCACTTTACCCCTCACTTGAGCATAAGATATAAAATTTTTCTTGTGTTCTTCTGTGCTTAGCCAGGGTACCTTCTAGCACTCACATGGCAACCCTTGCCCTCCCAAAAAGAAGCCTGGGACTTCTAGAGCTCTTCCTGGAGGGCAGCGGGTGGGAAACAGACTGCCCTCACCCCCAACCAAAATCTGATCACTGGCTGGGCTTGGAGGATCAGGTCACTGATTAATTTTTTTCTTTACCATTTCCCTCTAAGGTATCCAAGATAGGACTAATTTCTAGGTAGAGAAGCGAAATCTGTTTTTCAAAGTGCTGGAATGACCCTGTAATAGACAGCCCAGTCGATGGCTTCAGGCTAAGTTCCTATCTTACAAGGCTTGCATCTCTCTAGCCAGCTGGGCCTTGGAGAGGTTCTGAAGGAAGACCTCAGCCATGGAACCACTCACAGCCACCTGCTCCTCTCCTGTTTGAAGTTCTGGGGTCCTGAGACGGCATTTGACCACAGGTGGTCTGGCCTTTACCCTGATGTGGTGTGGGGGTGCAGAGGGGTGAACTGTCCTCAGCTCTCTACATAGCAGGCTATGCGAATGTCAGGAGTCGAGGTCCTAAGGTAAGAATGGGTCCATCATCTTGCTTTTGTCCGGTCTGGCTCCCCTCAGGTAGGGGGTTGGGGGCTCATTGCAGCAGCTGCTGGCCTATCAGGCTGCCATTTTTATTATGGTAACTGCCTCCCATTTCTTCCCCTCCCCTCTCCTCAGTAGTCCTCAGTTATTTAGCAGTGAACACTTCCAGAGGGACCCTGAGGGGAAGGCATTCTGTCAAGTGCCAGGTCCCTGTCTGCCCAGCGCAGTGCTAATGTCAAGGCTGTGAAGCTAAGCCCTATATAGGCCCATTCTTTAAAAACTAGATGGTGGAGTTCTTCAGGAAGGGATGTGTCTTAGCCTTTTTGCCTTCTGGGTTTCCTGGAGCTGTTACAACAGCTCTGCCAGTGGCCTCCAAACATTGCCTGAGATTGAGAAACTGTACCTCATGCAACCATGTGCTACTATTTTTGAATGGTATTTATATGCCTTATAAATATTTATCATTAGAATTTTTCTCAATCAATGGGTAATAGTAATCATGGGAGAGGCCTTGAAGCCATCTGACATTAAAAAGGGCTATCTTGGCCGGGCGCGGTGGCTCAAGCCTGTAATCCCAGCACTTTGGGAGGCTGAGACCGGCGGATCACGAGGTCAGGAGATGGAGACCATCTTGGCTAACACGGTGAAACCCCGTCTCTACTAAAAATACAAAAAACTAGCCGGGCGAGGTGGCGGGCGCCTGTAGTCCCAGCTACTCCGGAGGCTGAGGCAGGAGAATGGCGTAAACCCGGGAGGCAGAGCTTGCAGTGAGTTGAGATCCAGCCACTGCACTCCAGCCCGGGCTACAGAGCAAGCCTCCGTCTCAAAAATAATAATAATAAAAAAAAATAAAAAATAAAAAGGGCTATGTTGTGCACGAAAGTTGGGCAAAACTAGCAATGGCTCTTTTTTTTTCCTGACTGCTGATTAGCCTATGCCCATACCCCTGGCTTCCTTTTCTTTGGGGATGAGGCTAAGGAAAAAATGCCAGCACTTTTGCATCAGCAAGGAAATTCTGCCCTAATAAAGAATGGGCTTAATGTCTTTGTGGTTCTGCTTTCCTTGACCTATAACTGTTGTCACAGGAAAGATTCCTATTGGGGAAAAATATCCCTTTTAAAAAGGAGATGAGCTATATAATAAAGCTTAATATTTATTCTGAGTTTGATAACCACCATCATCACCCTATTCTAATCTTGCATAGTTTAAAAAAATTGAATAGTTACTGAAAAGGGATTCACGTCAGGGATGAGACGCAAGGTTGGAGCATCTTTCTCCTGAAGGGATGATGTTCAGAACAATCTTGGGAGGTGAAACTGGGTCTTGTCCAGGAAAGCCTCAGTGCTCTTTGCACCATTGTTTTGCCTTAGTGAACCCTGCAATTAACTAGGGTGGATTGGTCCACTCTGCAACCTGAGCCACATGTTATCCTAATACTCCTAATACCTCTGGTTACTGTCGTACTTGCTAGAATCATCTGCAGATGCTGTTTGACATCTCTCCACAGGGGTCCCTGTGGATCATCATTAATCCCCTTGTTGTGGGATCCCCACTCCTGCTGCTGCCAGCTGCCGTTGTCCCCTGGATCCTTGCAAAATGGCCAGTGTCAGGGTATCCCTGTGTGCATTCAGCCACATGGCGGGGCCCAGCAAGTTGTGCGGCGAGCCAGCAGCTGGGCTGTGCGTTGGACTGTAGCCTTCTTCAGGCTTCCAGTATACTTCTAGAAGGTGCCTCCACCAGTGCCTCCCTTGTTGCAAAGTTGTTTTGTACCAATGACATGCCTTCACTTTCATTCTGTTCCTTAGGTTCCTTTCCTTTGAACCACCAAACTTTCTCCAAGTGCCCATTCCAGAAAACATTGCCATTGAAGAAGGGCTTGCTTTCAGGTCAGGTTTTCTGGTTTTCCCAAAGGCCAGTCTGAGGCTGTCCCTGACTGCACCTGGAGAACCAGATCCCTTGACTCCCATTTGAGGCCTGAGCACTCTGCCACCTGCTCCAAGGGCTTTCATCCTAGTAACTGTAGCATCTCCTACCATTTTTAAATTATTATTATTCTTACCTCCTATCTGCCGTGTGTGAGCCATTTGGAGGGACAGTATGGAAACAGAAAGACCTTTGGTGAAGTCTTAAGAATTTCCTGATTAAAATGAAAACATACATTGACCCCAGTTACATTGCTCATCTCACAGCTTAGTATGCCAAGAAATAACCATGATATGTGTAAAACAGGATGAAGTAACCCACTGGAAGGAGAAAGAAGCCAAAACTGGTCAACCTGCTGGCCTGAGACAGCACCCACGTGGCATGCCTCTAGTACAGTGAGGCACCTCTCAGCCTGTGGACTCCACCTCTTCTTAGTGGAGACACTCAGACATCCTCAGAAAAGGGTGGAATTCAACATGAAGGATGAGGAGGAAACATCTCTAACTTCCACACATGATGTACTTACCAAGTCTATTCAGGCCAGAATGAATGCTTCCACATCATCTCTGCTAAGGCACAGGCATCACTCTCATTTGCAGGTGGGAGAGCGAGGCTGGAGGGTCAGGCTTGGTTAGAGCAAGGCTGAAATCTCACCTACAGCTCCTGGCTCCAAATATGCCCCTCCCAGAACCATTCTTACCAAGAAAATCTCTTTCTCCATTGCCTCTGGTACCTGTCATGGGGCAACTTTTTCTGGTGAGTGTAACTCAGTGGGTGTCATTGTCTTACTTAGCTAGAGAATGACATCAGGATTGGAAGCATGTTTAGAGATCACCCCAAGGTTCACAGCCCCCACAGTACCAGGGCACTTCGTGTGTTCCTTGTGGGGGGTGGTGGTTAGACACACATGGTGCACTGATGCCATTCTTCCTAGAAAAACATCTGTCATCTGTGGCACCCAGGGCACTTTACTCATTTTCTCTCTCAGCGGCCTTATCACAGTGAGGCAGGTCACAACCAGAACCCCTATTTTGCAGATGCAGAAAGAAAAGGCAGAGGGAAGGAGAAGCAGAAACACAGTGTCCCTTCCTACGGGTACCTTCACTATCAGACTACACAGCATCTACTTGCTTTGGCCAGCACCTGGTATTGCTTTACAGGGAGTTCTGCAAAAACAAAAAACTGTTTCTGTACATAATCCCTTACCCAGAAAAGCAAGCTGGCCAGGTGCTGGCAGGTTGTGGTTTCTTTAAGGTGGAGCAGAAGGGCTTTGCCTGAATTTCCTGATCTCCTCCTGCCATCTGGTGGCTGTGAGCTGAGCATACATGCACATTTCAATCTTCATTTCCTGTGCTCCTTACTTCAAACTCCCATGCTCCGTGATCTTCTGAGGTGTGATGAGGGAAGGAGGAATGGGAGAAAGGTGAAGATAAAGGGAGACGAGAAAGAGGAGGAAAAGGAGGAGAGAAAATGTAAAAGGCATGTACCTGTAGCTTTCATTGTATGTTCTTCCTTAGGTCCTCTCACCCTCCATTCGGCTACAGAGAACCTTCAGCGTATGGTGGAGACAAGCCATTCAGTTCCACTGACATTTTGTGGAGTGCCTGCTGGGTGTTGGACACTACACTAAGGGTTGGTCTGCAAAATGGGTACTTAAAAGATCCACTGCTCTAGAGTAGTTTATCAACATTCATTTTAGAAGGTATTTTATTATCCTGAGAAGCAAGGTACTGTTTCAACACACAACAGTCTTTCACAGGGCACTTTTTCATATTGATAAAGTCCAGTTAATCAGTTTTTCCTTGTATGGGTTGTGTTTTAAATGTCAAGTCTAAGAACTCTTCGCCTAGTCATGGATCCTGAATATATTCTTCTATTTTTTTCCTGAACAATTACACTTTACATTTAAGTCTGTGATTGATTTTTAAGTTAAATTTTGTATGAGATATGAGTTCCAGGTAGAGATTTGTTTGCTTTTTGTTGATAGCTATGTTTATCCAGTTGTCCCAGCACCACTTGTTGAAAAGCCTATCCTTCTATTGAATAGCTTTTACACCTTTCTAAATATCAGTTGGACATATCTGTGTAGGTCTGTTTTTCAGTTGTCTATTCTGTTCCATTAATCTCTGTGACCATCCCTTCACCAAAACCACAGTCTCGATTACTATAGTTATAAGTCTCAAAATTGGGTAGAGTGATTACTTTTACTTTATTTTTATTTTTCAATAGTCTTAACTTTTTCAGCTTTGTTTACTTTTCTATATAATTTTAATTTTTCTTTTAAGATGGCATCTTGCTCTGTTACTCAGGCTGGAGTACAGCTTCATGATTATAGCTCAGTGCAGCCTCAAACACTCAGGCTCAGTGATTCTCCTCCTTCAGCCTCCCGAGGAGCTGGGACTGCAGGCATGTGCCAACATGGTAAGCTAAGTTTTAAAAAAAATTTGTAGAGATGGGGGTCTTACAAAGTTGCCCAAGCTGGTCTCAAACTCCTGGCTTCAAATGATCCTCCCACCTTGGCCTGCCGACTATGTTAATTTTAGAATAATCTTGTCTAGATATATAAACAATGTTGCTGGGATTTTGATAGGAATTGCATTAATCTTATATATCAATTTTGGCATTGTCATCTCTGCTATGTTGAGTCTTCTATTTTTTACATTATTTTATTTTATTTTTTGAGGCAAGGACTTGTTCTGTTGCCCAGGCTGGAGTGCAGTGGCACAATCACCGCTCACTGCAGCCTTGACCTCCCAGGCTCAAGGAATCCTCCTACCTCAGCCTCCAGAGCAGCTGGGAATACAGGCACATGCCACCATGCCCAGCTAATTTAAAATATATGTATTTTTTGTAGAGATGGAGGTCTCTGTATGTTGTCCAGGCTGGTCTTGATCTCCTGGGCTCAAGTGATCCTCCAGCCTCAGCCTCCCAAAGTACTGAGATTACAGGATTACCGCTGCCCTGCCAAGTCTTCTAATCTATAAATATGGTATGTCTTTCCATTCATTTAGACCTTCTTTCATCATTAGTATTTTGTAGTTTTCAGCATACAAATCATGTACATGTTTTGTTAGATTTGGACCAAAGTACTTTTTCTTTTTCTTTTTTTGGCAATTGTAAATGGTATCATATTTTTAATTTTAGTATTCATGTATTCATTGCCAATATATAGAAACACACTTGACTTTTGTATGTCTATCTTGTATCCTATGAGTTTGCTGAACTTGTTTATTAGTTTTAGAAACTTTTTGTATTTTTTTTTCAATTTCCTACATAGACAATCATAGCACTTGCAAATAGGGATAGGTTTTTTATTTTTGTTCTTTCTTTCTTTCTTTCTGATCTGTTTGTGTTTTCTTGCCTTATTGTACAAGCTAGAACTTCAACTCTACTATACTGTATAAGAGTTAAGAGAATAGACATCCTTGCCTTAGTCTGGGTCTTAGATTGGACCAGCCCTGCATCCTGAAATACACTGTTCTTGATTATAGTATATAATTCTTTTTATATATTGCTGAATTATATTTGCTAATATTTTGCTGAGGATTTTTGTATCAGCACTAATGAGGGATATTGATCTTTGGATTTATTTTTTCATACTGTCTCTGGTTTGTGTATCATAATGAATTGTATCATAAAATGGTTGTGTATCATAAAATGAATTGAGAAGTGTTACCTCTGAAAGAGACTGCGATTTTCTGAAAGACATTGAGTAGAACTTGGTGTTACTTCTTTTTTGAACATTTGATAGAATTCTCTGGGGAGATCACCTGGGATTGGAGACTTCTTTTTTTGGTTTTTAGTTAGTAATTTAATTTCCTTAATAGTTATAGGGCTATTCAGATTATCTATTTCCTATTTGGTGAGTTTCAGTGGTTTGTGCTTTTCAAGGAATAAATCCATTTCATTTAAGTTGTGAAATTTATGTGTGTACAGTTCAGTCTTTTTTTATTATCCTTTTGTGTGCAGATGTGGGAGTTTTAAAATAAATAATACCTAATATAATTTTTGGCCACAAATCACATCATGATGCAACATTTCGAGATGCTCATATATTCTCTTTCTAGCAGCAGTCACAGGTGTTATAAGGGCACTTCTTTCTCTTGTTAAAAAACATCACCTGACCAGGCATGGTGGCTCATGCCTGTAATCCCAGCACTTTGGGAGGCTGAGGTGGGCGGATCACTTGAGGTCACAAGTTCAAGACCAGCCTGACCAACATGAAGAAACTCCATCTCTACTAAAAATACAAAGTTAGCTGGGCGTTGTGGCACATGCCTGTAATCTCAGCTACTTGGGAGGCTGAGGCAGGAGAATCACTTGAACCCGGAAGGCAGAGGTTGCGGTGAGCCGAGATCCGCCACTGCACTCCAGCCTGGGCGACAAGAGCACAAGTGTGTCTCAAAAATAAATAAATAAATAAATAAATAAATAAATAAATAAAATCACCCATATCTTGAAAGTACTAATTTTAAAAATACTTATAGTAGCATACTAGTGAACCACTTCCTATAGGAAAGGTCAGCAAATTTAGGACAATCAAGATTTTTAAAAATTGTTTTTCAAAGAAAGTGCATAATTCATCTTTAAGTCCAACAATTCATTTATACACTGTCATGAGCAATCCAAAAACCTTTATGTGGTACAAAAGATTGTCATGGCCACCCCTACCCCCACCATTTCATTTACAAAATAATGTAAAGATTCTGCTATAAAGATCTTGTGACTTCTGTAAAAGTTAATGGGAAAGAAAAAAGTTTTAAAAAATTTCTTAAAGTCCTGTCTTTATAAAATTAGTCATGTCCATAACATCCTGTAGCACGTAAACTGTAGTGTGAGGTGACTCACTGCGGGTGAGTGTACGAGTAAGGATGCCATCCTCGAGGCCTCAGCATTACGAATGCCACGTCTCCTTGGGGATGAAAGATGTTAGACCATGGCTGGCTCACAATGGACAGAGAGAGGTGCTGAGGACCATCCAGATGGCAAAAATGGTAAAATAATTTTTATTTCTAATTTTTCAGATCACTAATACAACAAAATAGAATTTCTTGTGCTTTCTTCCTGCTGGGTCCCCGTGGCCGTCAAGTGCTCTGTGGTGTGCCCCTCCTGCCTCAGTCTGGCGACCACTGCCCCACACTGGTACTGTAAGCGTGCTAGCCTTGCCTGCCTGCCTGCCCCCACCACCAGAGATTTCTAAGCTTCTTAAGAGCAACAGCTGTGCCTTGTCCTTCTCATCCCTCCCAAGCACCTAACCCAGGGTGAGCTAAGCTCAGCTGCTCCATGACACTGGCTTCAGGAACTGCCTGTGAACAGCCAATAAGCCCTATAATTTGCAGATGTCCATGCGGACCCAGCGTAGGTGGGACACAGTGAAGAATAAAGCCCAGATCCCATTCCTGAGGCTGTCTGAGGTACTGGGATGAGAGGTGTTTGCAAGACATGCCATACAGTTCAGGGTAGAGAGAAGCAAGAGCTGCTGGAGAAATACTCGCGGAGTGCTGTGGGAGACCGGAGCAAAGATGCTTCCTGCTGGTTCATGCTGCCTGGGACTGAGAAAGGCTTCCTGGAGGAGGTGGCATTCTGCTCAGTGGTATAGGCTTTTGTACTATGGCAGCAAGAGGAAAAGGACTAAGAAAAGGTGATGAGGTGAAGCTTTGGAGATGCCATCAAAGAGGAGCACCCATCAGGGGAAAAGTACAGAGGGAGGAAGAAGGGCAAAGACCTCTCAAGGACAAACAAAAATCCACAGGTGGTGGCCTGGGATGTGACAGTAGCACTCGCTACAGTATTCCAGATACACTGGGTTTTTGGTAATACTTTTTACCCAGCTGGGGGAAAAGGCCATTAGTTGCCAACTCACAGATGTTCTTCCTGTTCCTCCCATACCCCAAACACAACCCTGCCTTTGGGCCCTTGCGCTAGCTTCCCTCTGACTAAAATGCTCTGCCCCGAGGGTCACCCAGCTGGGCCCCATGCCCTGCAGGGCTCCACACAGAAGCTATCTCCTCAGAGGCCTTCTCTGACCATCTGATCCCAGGGCGCCCAGGGCACTCTCCAGCACAGCACCCTTCTGCATTTTTGTCTCAGTCCTAAACACACCCTGATGTTGTCTCATTTATTTTTATGGTGATTTGTTTACTATCTGTCTCCCCCACTCCACCCACCACCTCCACACTAGACTATAAGGGTCAGGGCTGCTGTGATCACTGACCTTAAAAACGGAGTGAGTAGCTTCACCCTGGTCCTCTTAAAGTACTTTGTTATAAAGGCTAGTTTGATGAAATGGCCTCACTTGAGATGACCTCAAAACCACTTAATGGAAAAAGAGAGGGGGGGAGTGAGACAGAAATATAAAAGAGTGGGATTGCTCCAATGAAACTTGATGTGTGAGGTTACCAGGCAGTTTTAGTTTAATGCCTATTTCAATCTACTTTGCCTCATTTCTTTAGCTTCAGTTAAAAAAAAAAAAAAAAACTTACTGTGCTTCATGTACCTCTCAAAGCTGCCTTAAATTGTCAGAGAACAGTGATCAAACTAATAAATATATTTTAAAAACTTTGGGGATATAACATCAATTATTTGATTTCTCAAACAATTTTATTAGGCCAGACTTAGTGGCTCATGCCTGTCATCCCAGCACTTTGGGAGGCCAAGGCTGGAGGACCACTTGAGCCCGGGAGTTTGAGACCAATCTGGGCAACATAGGAAGACCTGTCTCTACAAAATTAAAAAAAAAAAAAAAAAAAAAAAAAAAAGTAGCTGGCCAGGTGCCACCCTGTAATCCCAGCATTTTGGGAGGCTGAGGTGGGTGGATCACCTTAGGTCAGGAGTTTGAAACCAGCCTGCCTAACATGGTGAAACCCCGTCTCTACTAAATACAAAAAAATTAGCCAGGTGTGGTGGTGTATGCCTGTAATCTGAGCTAATTGCGAGGCTGAGACAGGAGAATCGTTTGTACCTGGAAGGCGGAGGTTGCAGTGAGCCTAGATGGCACCATTGCACTCCAGCTTGGGCAACAAGAGCAAAACTCCGTCTCAAAAAAAAAAAAAATTAGCCGGACATGGTGGTGTGCGCCTGTAGTCCCAGCTGCTTGAGAGGCTGAGGCTGAGGATCACTTGAGCCCAGGAGGTTGGACCTGAGCTTGCGACGAGTCATGATCGTGCCACTGTACTCCAGCCTGGGTGACAGAGTGAGACCGTGTCTCAAAAAAAACAAAAACCAAAAAAAACAAACCTTCTTTAGGAAAGTTAAATGTTACTCAATGTTGAGTCCTTGTTTCCTAATCTTAGTTAATCATTAGGTTCACTGATGACACTTATTTTAAAAATACAGTTTTTTGGGTCTCTCCAAAGAAGATCCAAGTTCAATAAGTTTGGCATGGGGCTGAATAGTCTGTATCAGCTTCCCAGGTGGTTCTGATGGCTCACTAGGTTTGGGGAACAATGTAGTAAGTCATCCTTAATTATCATCCAGCAAACAGTATCAATGGCAAACTCAACTTGCTTGAGAGCTCAATAGTGTGAGGAAAATAGTCTTAAAGAAGTGAACGCTTTTGCCAAGAATGTGCTGAGTATAATGTTCTGACATGTAATATAATGACATATTTGGTCAGATTCTCCGAATAAATGATCATGTCCAGCACGCCGGCACCTCAGGGCGCCCTCTTCAGGAGCCTCTTGGGTGGCTGAGGACCCTCAGTCCTCCCTACCTGATAGGAGGGTCATACCGGTCACCCTCACTACTTCCAACCGCAGTGACTCAGCCCTTGGAAAAACCAACACCCTGACTTTGTTAATCTTCCAGAGAGCAGGTGAGCACCAAGCCCCTGCAAGAGGCTGCCACACACACACGAGGAGGGACCAGAGTTCAGGCATCTGAACTTGTGGTCATGGGCCCCTGGAGAATCTATGCAAAATCTCAGTGGATATTTGTGTAGAACTTGGTTAGAGCGGAGATTTCTGAGCATTCATCCTCAGCTTCTTGGTGGAGCCCATGACAACAAAAGGTTAGGGCCTCAGCTTAGAGAATGAGGCTGGTGGTTCACATCACCAAGCTGCAGATTACCCTCGGCCCTTTGCAGTCTGTCTCACAGGTGAAGGTTTGCACTGGGAGGAGGACCCCAAGCGCACCCTCCGTTCGGCTTCATGTAGGCAGAGGGAGCAGAAGGCACACATGCAAACATGAAGGGCTGTGAGTGCTGCGCAGAGAAGACAGAAGGTGGAGGCCGAGCTACCCCAGGCCAGGGTCCAAGAATGGGAATGGAGGAGTGACATCTGGCCATCATCCGTGCCTCTGAGTCCCTGGGCAGGTTCCTCAGGGCTGCCTCTACTCATCTTCCAGATGGAACTGAAATGCCAGCCCGAAGAATGGGAGCCCTGTGACCCAGCATCTCTCTCAGAACAGGAAGGGAGTTTGAGGACAATCATAGATAACAATTGCTGGCTAATGAGTGTCTGCGCGGTGCTGGGCGCTATGAGTAATGATCTCTGATGCCCACAGCACCCTGCAAGGTTGGTATTCTTTCCCCCATTTTACAAATGGGGAGATGAAGGTTGAGCAACTTTGGCTAACACGCCAGGTCACACAGTAGGCATTTAACCCAGGTCTGACTCCAGACGAAGCTGGACGAGTGAGGAAGCCAAGCTCCATACTAATGGCTTTGCCCATCATGGAGCTGAGAACCTAGCCAGCCTCTCTTGATCCCATTACAGACCCTTCTGCCACACGTGGAGCTTGGAAAGAATGAACTAACACAGAAAGGAGGTTTGGCTCTGCAGAGGATGTAAATGGGGGCTAAGGTAAACAGCAGGCTGAGGACACCCTCCCCACCCCCACCCCCTGGGGCATAAATTCTAGCCTTGAGGCAGAGTTGAAGGGGACCGAAACTCAGTGGCACAAACTGGGGACAAACCAGAGCCTTGGAGGAGAAAGCCTTCCCCAAACCAAGAGTCAAGGTGGGTCTAGAGAGCACATATAGGTTGCAGATCCAGGTCAGCCTGAATAAGGACCGTGCCCTGGGTCACAGCAGGAAGAGGGACCTGCCCTTAGCTGTCATCAGGTTGCTCTGGGGCCCTCTAACTTATGCTATGACAAGAGCTCTGAGTGCCAATATTCTGCCTGCTCCTTCTCCATCTCCATGAGGGAGTCCCCTCCCAACCACTACAGCAGGTCCTCTCTTCCTTCTTCTTTCTCTCTCTCTTTTTCTTTCTTCTTTCTTTCTTTCTCTCTCTCTTTCTTCTCTTTCCTTCCTTCCTTCCTTTCTCTCTCTCTCTCTTTCTTTCTTTCTTTCTTTCTTTCTTTCTTTCTTTCTTTTTTTCTTTTTTTTTTTTCTTTCTTTCTTTCTTTCTCTTTCCTTCCCCCCTCCCTCCCTCCCTCCCTCCCTCCCTCCCTTCCTTCCTTCCTTCCTTCCTTCCTTCCTTCCTTCCTTCCTCTCTTCTTTCTTCCTTTTCCTTTCTTTCATTGATAAAGAGTCTCGCTCTGTCACCCAGGCTGGAGTGCAGTGGTGCCATCTCAGCTCACTGCAACTTCTGCCTCCCAGGCTCAAGCGATTCTCCTGCCTCAGCCTCCTGAGTAGCTGGGATTACAGGAGTGCACCACCATGCTCGGCTAATTTTTGTATTTTTTGTAAAGATGGGGTTTTACTATGTTGCCCAGGCTAGACTCTTGAGCTCAGGTGATCTGCCTACCTTGGCCTCCCCAAGTGCTGGGATTACAGGCTTGAGCTATCACACCTGGCCCCTTCTGTTCCTTATTCCCCACGTGTAACTATGGGCTAGTGGTGATTGTAATGTGGGAGTTTAGCTCATCCATACATCAGCTGTCTATTTTGCCCCAAACTTAAAGTTGCTTTGTCATGGTTTGAGCATTATTTTTGTGCTGTTCAGTTTAATTATGTCAGTACCACAAAAGCATAAGCAATTATTTTTAATTCTACAAACTCGATAATCAAGTTGCTCTAATCAATAGAAATCAACTGATACTTCTATAGCAATTGAATTTAATATTCTGCCTTTTCAGAGTTTGGTTAAAATATGATAGGTTATTAGTGCAAAATGAGGGACACATTTTGATGATAGCAGCAGTTTTTACACTGTGCACCCTGAATTTTGGGTTCTAAAGGGGGATTGTTACGTCTTGAAGGACCAAATTATGTCTAATTTCTCTCTGAACATTCAGAAGAATAACACTCATTATAACTCCCTCTTCTGAATTGCCAGAGCACTTTGTAATTTCTCGTTGTATGGATGACACTCGGCCCTGCACTGGTGCTCTCTCTCAACCCTTTTCATCTCCTGGAGACTAGCGATGGGTTTTGTCATTCTGCATCTCTCCTCCTGAGCACAGTATTTGTCCCTCAGTCCGTTCTATGCCTTTTATTACATTTCCTGGCTGACTTGAGTGCCCTGGTCTTCCCAGAATACCTGGGCGAGGCTCTTCCTTGACACTTACCACATTATGTCTGTGTGTTGTCCCTAAAAGATCACAAGCCTGTCATGGTGAGGGAGTTTGTCTCATTATTCTCAGTGTGCCCAGCTCCTGGCAGAGAGTAGACAGCAAGTAAATGATGAATGAATGAATGACTGGTGAATATCTGTACACTTTTTTTTTGACAGAGTCTCACTCCATCACCCAGACTGGAGTGCAGTGATGCGATCTCAGCTCACTGCAGCCTCCACCTCCTGGGTTCAAGCAATTCTCGTGCCTCAGCCTCCTGAGTAGCTGAGATTACAGATGGTGTGCCACCATGCCCAGCTAATTTTTGTATTTTGAGTAGAGACAGGGTTTTACCATGTCAGCGAGGCTGGTCTTGAACTCCTGGCCTCAAGTGATCCACCCTCTTCGGCCTCCCAAATTGCTGGGATTACAGGCATGAGCCACCGCACCCAGCCCTGTACACTATTTTTAATAGCTTGATTGAGGTATAATTCACATACCACAAAATCCAACCAGGTAAGGCACACAGTTCAGCGATTTTTAGTGTAGTCACAGAGTTTTGCGATCACCACTACAATCTAATTTCAGATGTTTTCATTATCCCTAAAAGAAATCTTGTACCCATTAGCAATTATTCCTCATTCCTGCCCTCACCCCCAGGTCCTACTCTTTCCTACTCTTTATCGCTACAGATTTGCCTACTTGACATATCACACACATGGAGCCATATATATGTGTGCCCTTCATGATTGGCTTCTTTCACTTAGAATAATATTTTCAAGGTCCATCCTTGTAGCAGCACATATCAGGACTTAATTTTCATTGCTGGATACTACTACTTTATATGTAATGCCACATCATGTTTATCCATTCACCAGGTAGTGGACATTTGGGTTTTCACTTTGGGGCTAATATAATAATCTTTTGCAAACATTCATGCACAAGTTCTTGTGTGGATATATATTTTTATTTCTCTTAGGTATCTAGGAGTAGAATTGCTAGATGCTTAATATTTTGAGGAGCTGCCAAACTGTTTCCCAAAGCTACACCATTTTACATTTTCATCA